GAACTAATTTTAAAGAAGATACCTGGAAAGCCTATATATTCTTCAGATTATCAGTTTTTAGAGTGAGACTAACTCACTGTAGTGCCCAAGAGGATTAATGTAGATTACATAGCAAATGAGTACGTGTTCAAACAAGAAAAATGTCAGTATTAAAGTTTTAAATGCACACTTTAAGTGGTAACGGATTGTTTGCAGAAGACTGTGCAGACCACTTGAAGTACAAGTCAAAAAGACAGGACAAAATGCAATTCAGTGTTCACAATGCATCTGAATAAGCCTCTGCAAAAAACTTCCACTAACAAATTTCACAGTAACAGCATCCTCATGTAGTACCAGGTCATGTAAAATTTCTGTGTACAAACTATACAGAATTAATGTAACCTACAGAGGCAGTTTCTTGTGACGTGGAGTTTGTGCAAGTCTAACTAGACATGGAAGTGTTTCTAAATATAATGAATTATGTCTTTATAGTGGAAGACTGAAATAATATGCACCTACATAAAACACTAGAAAAATTATGTTATTGACAGTAACATCTCTCTCCATTATCCATGTCATTATCTATGTCACATCCATTACATTATCCATATCAAAGAGAAAAATACACCTCTGCCAATATTAATGCCCAGCTAACTTCTGAAGACAGAAGAAAGACTTTAGGATCTTTCACATCTGTAAAGAAAAGCATTACCCTGGAAACCAGATACCAACAGCATTAAGAGTTAAATTTTCCATGCGCATTTAATTCCAACTGCTTCAAGCTAGCCTTCAGAAACCACCACAGAAGCTTTAATTCTCTCTCTACAACATTAAAAGTCTTTGACAAGAAAGTTAGAGTATTTGTTTAGGAGATGGGAAGTAAAATTTAAAAGCCACTTGATATTGAGTGGAAGTTCCATGTGGCTTGAGTCAATCAATCCCAATTCTAGAAATGCTCAGTCCATACCAAATGAAACCAAAACACACAGATATTCTCACCTTTTTATTTTATACTCGGCGCACCAGCACAGATCCTTCTTATGTCAAGAACTGCCAATGCTTTATTTAAAAGGAGCTTTAGATACTATTATAAAATTAATTTGCTTACAAACACAGAATCCTCATGATTTTCAGACTTTCAAACGTTACCCTAGGTAACTAAAATTGTTTCAATAAATACTGTTTTCAAAATGCAGAGAGGAACAAATAACCAGTAACAGTTATTCTAAGGCACAAATGGTGCTCAGCACCACTCTTCACAGCATAACATTTCAAAGAGAAGTTTTTGATTACACAGCAGTGCTAAGTCAAAGCTATCATGCACAGGACATGTGCTGACGCTGGGCATGAAAACATTATTTCATCCTGTCAGCAATCAAACAAAAAAATCACTGTAGTTGTCCAATCTTATGACAAGCATATGCCTAGAATAGCAGCACTCCCTCTTCAACTACTACTCAGTTCCTGTTAGAGGATGAGAACTTGTTATTTATGAGCATTAATGGCATCTAGACACAGTATTTAAATCTCTCTCAGGAACTGTTAAAAATGCTACAAACGTTGCTGTGGTAGCAGACACATTATATATAGTAAATGACCTCTGAAGTATTCTGCTGCATTAGTTGAGTATTCCACTGTATTTATAATGCTGAAATAATTTTGGTTTTGTAGAAAGCCATCACCATCTACAGTACAGATAACAGGAGAACAGAGCTCACATTGTTCAGGATCCTTCAGGAAGCTCCAAGTTTGAATGACAAACACGGCACGTTCCTATAAAGAACTGTTACAAAAGTGAAAGGCAGTGCATTCATAACTCTATCAAGGTGCTTAAATATTTTTTTTCCTAATAAGTATGCCAAAAAACCTTGTACATTGCAAGGTACATATTATATGCAGATGAATAAGCATACAGCCCTAATTCACATTTCCAATGTATCTGCTTTTGTTCCTTAAACAGTAACAACGCAGCATACTTTGTTCAGAATTATTTTATTTGGATTATAGCAATTAGAATCACTGATCAGTAGGCCCAATCCAGGCAGAAAGCACAGAATCAACATCACAAGGCAACAAACAGGGACTAATATTTTAGCATACAAACCATTTCACTGCATTATCAAGTAAAAATATCTTCCAACCATGCATAAAAAGTCTATGCTTAATCTTGCAGAGCTCCAGGTAATACCAGATTCCTAAATATACAAAAAAATACATTTAACTTATAATAATCTTAGTGAATCAGACTTATAAAATTAGCTTTACTCTTCACAACATAGAAAAAATTACAAAAATGACTGTATATAGTTTTCACCCAAATTTCACTGACATAAATATACATCAAAATCTATGATTTGATGTATACTCATGAAAATTTTAAGCTGATAGGTTTTAAAATGACACTGCAGATTGGTCCACACAAATGCCAACCTTTCTACTGATTAATAATAATAAAAAAACCTTTGATAGAAACATCACGTTATGAAAAATTACAATTTACCTGCACTGTAACCTGCATCTCACTTTAATTTACAATATGAAGATTTCTACAATTCCAGTTGTAAATTATACACTGGTAAGAACCTTTCTTTTTTTGAGGGTCATGACTAACTTGGACAAAGCCAGCCTGGTAGAAGTATTGTTGACTGAACCAGTGCACACAACACAGACTACCAAAGCAGAAAACGTTTGCTGCAGAAATTAGGTGATGCTGATAGAAAACATGCAAGCCAAGTAAAGAGTCCGGGGGGAAAAAAACAAAACAAAACAAAACAAAACAACAAAACCCTCTCAGATTTGTGACAAAGACTACTAATCAAAGCTTCTGTTAGAAAGTTCACAGAAAACCACATTACAATTTCAGTGGCAGATGAGGGGAAATTTGCTCTTATTTAATGAGGAGGAAAAAACCCACGTGTGACCCGCGTTAGTTTCAGTGAAAAGCTGAAGTGGTGCTGTGGCTGTGCAGGGCCGCACTGCAGCTCTGCCCCCAGGGGGCGGTTCCACGGCAGCTGAAGGTGAAGCGGCGCTGCACGCCCAGCTGCTGAGCGCTCCTACGGACCGCCCGCACACAACTCACATCAACTCTGCTGTTAGCATTTCTTAGCTACCAAAGCTCTTTCTTTCAAGAGCAACTCCATTTCTTTTAAAAGACTGTAGTCTATTTGCATCTGTGTGGTAAATTAATATTTTCAATTGTCAATATTCCATATTAAAGTGTACTCAGTAAAGCCATTGGCTGTACAAGCCTTCTCCCTGCTGGCACCTCCCTCTGCCTTTGTGCACTGCCAACGCTATCTAATGCGGATCTCTACTACGTCTCTCTCATCAACAGAGCTGTGCATTTGTTTCATACAGGAATATTACACAGACATTTTTTTTCTCCAAACTGGACTAAGAAATTTTAATCCAAATCTTTTGTTTATTCAAGAAAAGTTCAGAAGTTGAGCACTGACAATATCCAGTAAGCTGAGTACATCAAAAAAATCAGATCTTTTAAATGACAAATACTCCTTTGATAGCAAGTTTGAACAAAGGGAGGTGCTTTGTTCAGAAGTGGAATTTTACAGTTTTGAACAATGAGTTCAGTATAATGCAACACTTCTCAGACTACTACAACAAAGCACCATATAACCTAATGGAGAAATGAACTGGAATTGTTGCCTCTTTGAATGTAAAACCACTCTGAGGTTGTATATGGCCATAATGTTTTTAATTATGGCCAGTAACTGTCTCCAAAAAGTTTACAGTAAAAGCAAGGATCATTATTCTCTTTCACTCTCTCCGGGTGCACAATAGTCCTCTTTGTGTTGAACAGGAAAGGTGTTATACACATTACTGATAGCTAGAAAAATACAGTCAGACTTTTTAATGGAGGCAAATCACTGAAAAATGCAGTGTTTTTTTGTTTGTTTTTTAATATAGCTCTGACAAACATAAACCAAAATAATTGTAAATCCATCTCTCCTGAAGTGCTAGAGCAGAGTCTGTACCCTTAGTACTTATTAGCTATGTTTAGGGAGAGCTGTGATGTGTCAAAACAAGTACCTGGGACACAGATAAGGGCCACATTCAGGGGGAGGTGCTGGCAGGCACAGCACCAGACCAGTACTGCAGGTACCATGGCAGTGGTCACACCTCATTTACGCACTAAATCATGTTAGAAAACAGAAACCAAAGAAGCCCTCCTATTGTTGTGTAGTGGCTCTGTGTGAAGATGACTATTTCAGTTCCTAACAAGAGCAAAGGCTAGGAACCTACGTTTCCTTTTGTCTTTGCTTAGATATCTGCTCATTTCTCTGTTCCCTTTGTCCTTTCCATTCCCCACCCCTGACCCCAAGCAAGACTTTGTTCACAACTTGGGGCACTGCTCACACATCATTAGTGCCTCCTGCCTCACCACAAGGTTTTCTCAGTTCTTTCATTTTCTGTTTTACCTTCCCAAGGGAAGGCGTAGCCTGAGAACCCAGAGAAAGCACCTAGGAAAACTTAACTTTCTATGGTTTTCTGCTCTTTAAAAGTGCAGATGAGGAAAGGCTTGTCCAATCTGCAAAAGCAGTATGTAACACATGAAAATCTGCTTTCAAAAGAAGTAGTTTATGACTTTGTAACATTTCAGAAGCTCAGTGCCTGGAACTACCTGCTCTCATGTGTCAGAGTGATACACATTAGTCACTTGAGAAGAATTAGGCTGAGGAGCAAGGCCCTCAGCTGATTCCACAGTAGATCAAATAGTCGTCAACACTGAAAGATGAGTGCCACTGAGATAGTGGATGGTGACTAGAGATGATAATGATAATTTAAAGTAAAAAAGGGAGAACTACACCTGCTTTTGGGTGATCTGCCTCCTTATATTGTTTAGATTCATTACTGATATCACTAGAAATATTACAGTTAGTTGGTGTTTTGTTTTTTTTTTTAATATTTAAAAAAGTACCCAGGGATGCAGTACTTAGAGGAGTTTTAATGTTTCAGATAAGTGTTACAGCCTCTGAATTAACAGCATTTGAGTAATTGGCTTAAGATCTTCAGAGAACACGCTCTGGTCAGACACTATTGTTTAAATTCCTAAAGAACCACATTCCCCTCATTTCCCATCATTTGTTTCCTGTTCTTGTTCCCGTCACCTTTTAGATATGTAACCTTCCTTTCTAAATTCAAACACACTGCCCGGGTAACATTCTCCACTGGAGTCTGACAAAATCCTACTCTATTCCAGAGCATATTATTGGCTTTCACAGCAACAGATACAGTTTCTGGCATGCAGTCAAGCATTTTAAAAAGAAAGAGGTATCAGTAATACAATCCCAATACAAACATTTAGTGGGTACAACTTCATCACTCATACTGCAACCTTCAGGCATTTAGTAATAAATTAAAACCATTTAGCACATCATTTAAGGGAAAGGCTAACTGCCAAGCCATATAAAGTTTAAAAGTTTTCTGAAGCACTGCAAGCTGTAAGTTATTTCAACGTTTTACGTTGTGGAATTTCAGTGAAATCAGTTTTACTGGTTATTCTTCCTAAATTATTGGGTTTTTTACCACTGACTTATTTTATCTTGGTATATTCTTTATAAATGTGCTGGGTGTTGAAAATCTGCAGCATTTTGATGTTTGAAAAGTTCTGAAAAAGTTGGAATTACTCCGACTTCTTGTGTTCTTCAGTGTGGGAAAGTACCTTTCGCCTCTGATGTAGCATGTGAAAATACAGCTGAGGGAAGACTGAAGAGAAAACAGACCAGTGAATAAAGTATGAATTAAGGCTTACGTATTAATTCACGATGCACAGTCACACACTCAAGGTCACCAATACTCTCTGAAAAGAAAACATTCTTATCTGCTTTCTACTCATATCAACTATTGCCTTTTATTCTTTAAAGAGAGTGATACTATCCTTAGGCTTCAGGTCCAGTTTACTTTTTCCTAGAACATGCAAAATGCTTGAAACACTGCATGTACAAGCAGGATGACCAAAGTTTCCTGGACTGCACATGCACAATAGAAAATACATTGAAGGCAGGAAAAAAGTCCTTTTGAAAGAATGACTCTTCCAGTTTGTTTAATTTCTTATAATTCTAGTGTCACTTTTTCAGGATCTAAGGAATGTTATACAACCTGGTAGCCTTTTATCTGCCTTTATGGAGGAGAACCCTTTGTCCTCCAAGCAAAGCTTTCTATCTCCCTATTTCTAAGGCTGCATTACACAGTATGTTTGTAGAGCAACAAAGCAGGGGATGGAAAACATACATACATAAACAGCCAAAGCTAAAATTGTCATAAGACAGTAAACCTTTGTGAACCATATGAGAACTGAACATGGTCAGTACCAGCCTAAATTGTGTTACAAGTGTGAAGTGTTCATCATAAACATAGGCCAAAGTATTTAATTTGTATACTATTGCTTTTTTCAGGTCAGCAATTTTTCTTTTGGCTTTCTTTACCCTGTATTTCATTTCCTGATTATTTCTTCCTTACTCTCTCCTGATTCATTCCACCACTGTTAAGGAATTAGTGTAACTGCCCAAAGACATAACAGAATACAAAGCCATGCGGTTCCTCCATTAGAAGTCTAGGTAATGGGGATCCATTATGTGCAGAGAATTTAATGACATCTTTTCTATCAAGGTATCAATTTTGATAGAAAAGTACTACCTTAAAGATTTCAAGTGAGGTAAATTGTAAGATGCAACTATCAAGAACATAAAAACTTCAATTTTTAACAACAGTTTTCAAAGTTTGCTTTCTTTGTGATATTAACGTTCCCAAATTTTCAAGATCTTCATCGGTTTCTGAAGGTGTAATTCCTGCATAGGTAGCTTTTAGGAAGGAATAACCAGGCTATAGTGTAAACAATGATTGCAATTAGCATTGCTTTTCTTCATAGGAATGCCTTCATGTAAAAGGCACCTAGGACTGCTTGAGTCTAAGCAGCTGGTTCTCAGAGTTAAGATACCAATTCACAGTAATAATTAAGATTATTAAAAGATGTCTTAAAAGAGACAACATTGAAGTTGTGCATCCAGCAATTGATAACGGATCACAGAAAATACCTAATTTAAAAGACAGCAATTTTAAAGGAGAAAGCAGGCTAACTGTTAGTTGGGTTCAGTGTGGTTCAGTACTTCCCTCCCACATGGCCTGTCAACTGAGATCTAGCTACTGCACAAGAAGTAAGTAATACTTGTGGTTATTTTGACTAAAACAAAAGATATTCTGGCTGCTTGGAGTTAGTAACATCACCATTTTAGGAGAAGGGGGACAAGGATAAACAAATGCATGCAAAGCATTTTTTTTAAGAACAGCTAGAAAAACTTATGAACCTTGATGTCGGAATTAAAAAAGACGGTTCACTGAAAGTGTAAGTGCTTGCTATAGACAGGCACACTACTGATGTTTAAATCTTTGAATATGGTTTATCATTCTGTACAAACAACAAGGTTCATATAAAACTGCAGCGATAGCTAAAAGCAGCAACATCATCACTACATTATTCTACATATTAGACTTTGTTTGCATATTTAAATTTGCTAAAGGCTTCCATGTTCCCGTTCCCCGTTCCAAAGCAGCAAAGCCAAATCTTCATTCTGTCTATAGAAACATCAACTAGATATTATGTCAATTCAAGTTTATTCAACAGAAATGGTTCCCTACCCACTAATGCAAAAGCAATGTTCCTGGTAACTGAATTTTAAGAAGCTGTTTTGAACTTTGTTCTCCTAGGAGTCTGTAAGTGGGAGAAAAGATACGAAGAGGTCAACATTTACCAAGTTACCACCACAGTTAATTTTATATTCCAAGTGTAAGAAAACACGTATTACTGTTTTGCAGGTGTCGATAGAAAGCAATCTCTGCATTTTTAACTCTGACTATTTTCATTAGATAATTTTAAAAATCAATTTTGCAAAGTCAGTTATATATATTACTCCCATAATTATTAGCTTTTCCTGTTATAGCTTTTAATATTAAAAAAAACTAACAAACTCATACTTACTTGGAATGTAAGAGATCATAACCAGGATCAGGAATGTGTAGTAGTCAAAAGAAAAATTGTACTTGTTAGGTAAACTAATGGAATACAAGCCAGACTGCCTGACGAAAGGTAATGCAGCATATATTGTGAGCAATTCACCTGAGACTCCCATTGGATACAATACTATAAACAAAGTGTACCTAGAAGAAAACATTTACAGAAAGGATTAAAAGTTATTACAAATTCTGACAAAGTATTTGTTAAATGCTATCATGGATATTCAAATTTTAAAATCTCAACTCAGGATTTATTTCCCCTAGATCTTATTTTATTAGAGTATGACAAGGTATGAACATTACTGCAAGTATTCAAATCAGCAATCAGTTTGAAGATTACCTTTGCAAATCTAAAACCTGTCTTTAAGACTATCCCACTCACACCTTGTTACTTTGATTTCTGAATTGTTTAGTAGAGGTCAGTATATTGCTTAAAATGAGGCCAAACACTGCTGATATTAATCAATGAACTTACAGATTGTTTCAAGTACAACCTTTAGATTCAAGGGTTACTGTTAAATGTCAGTTTACTTACTGTAACCCCTTACTGTTAAATGTCAGTTTCAAACAAACACAATCACTTTGTAAATGGGACCGAGTTCTGACAAACGACTCTTTCAGCTTACAACAGAATCAATTTTTTAAATCTAGAAATCTGCTGGCAAAAAGCTAGGAAGTCACATTCACAAACAGTGCAATTACCACAAGGTAGAATCTTATTTTTTGTAGCACAACCATTTTACAAGACAAATACCCCTGTCAAATCAGTCAATTTAAGGCTATGATTTCTATTATGCCACCTACCTGGCCCATTTGATGAGGTAAGGGAGATGGTTTAACAAGCTAAATGTATAAAAAGAATAACGGATTATCTCAGTGATTGTCCAGGCCACCACAAACAACAGGACACTATCTTCAGTTTGTACCTGTAAAAAAGACAAAAACAGCTCAGTATGAATCAAAGCATTACTAGTTACTCACTAGACCCAAGACAACTTCAAAGAAATCAATTCCCATGGGCTGCTTTACTGCATCATTTTAGAGAACAGACTCCAAGAATGAGCTTAAGAGCAACATTAGTAACAACAGTAAAAAGCCCTTCTTATCGTGCTCCCTGTTTTTCTAGTTGCTTAAGAATCGCTCTGCTTGGTGATGGGGCTAACTTCACATCTCCTGTTCCGTGCAAGGTAAATCAGTACAAGAAATCCCTGAAATACTGAGAACAACTCAAAACTCTTCCCATTCCTATATAGTGTCAGCTTCTATTTCAGTCCTATGATTGCATCCTAGTGCAGCAAGCACAAAGGATGCTAACACATGAATCTAACATTTGGCATCTAATTTAGGCTTTATATCTGATCTGATACTTAGCACTGATGAATATAGTGCTAAGTAGAAGCACTGTATTCCTCTCTCTACAGATAAAAAACTGGGTTCTCATTGGAGCAGCAGAAATACAGCTAACACCAGGACACTTGCTGGAAGGATTGAATGCTGACATTATCACCTGAGGTAAATTTGACAACTACTTGCTTTACTGTTCCTTGCTTCTTTTTCTGCTTATCATTTTCAGTATAGTTCCTCTGATGTTATACTCGAGGCATTATTGTTTCACTGCTTTACACCTCTTAGAGTTTTCATTTCAGACACACATCACTGAACCAGCTTTTATTCCCTTCATATTTTGAAGGTTAATCTTCAGAAGCATGTATTTGAAAGCAAAGTAGGTTTATTAGATTTGGGAACATAATTATGAGGTTTAAGTTTCAGAAGGAATAACAGTGATGAAGGAGTATAAGGGGTCATATACCCACACTTCAAACTCCAGAGAGAGCAAACGACTTTTATGCAGCCTTCCACCTCCTTCCCTCCCCTTCAACAGAATTCTCAGCTGTATCAGTACCTAGAGCTCAAATTCAGTGAACTGGGGAACAAAAAGAGCTCAACCACAGGGGCCCAACATTTTCTTTTTTCCTCAAACTTTTCAAACAACAGAAAAAGAAGTCAGTAGTTGTAGGTGGTACACAATTCATCTTGGGCAAAGTACATGTACAAATGAAAAAAGGAACAAGAAAAGATATGGATAATCAGAAACCTTTTAGAGGAGGGGACTGATCATGCATTTGTGTATAAAAACACTCAAGAGAATCATCCCTGAAAAGCTTTCTGATACAGACTAAAAAATTCAGGAAAAAACTTGGGATATCCTGGAATGTAGAGCTGCTGTTAATCTATATTCTGCTGGATACAGCATTTCATGTTACTTTCATTATATTTTGCAGCAAATGCATTTTGTCCCTTTTCTACACAGAATTGATAATTTGCCTATGTATTAATCTCCCTTACATCATCATAAAAGAAAAAAAAAAAATCAAAACTTATTTCAAGATTTTTAGGGGAAAACACCAAATCTGTTTTTACACTGCTACAAAATCCTAATCTTGTTTGGGGTCTGTTTTATAAGCAAGACTTAATTCTCAACATAGAACAGTTAATGGTACTTCACTGATGATGCTGTCTGTTCCCAAGGAGCAACATGCTTCACCAGCACTCCAGAGCTGCATCTTCTGGTCAAATCAGGAGTAGCAGCTGAGCGAGTTCATCTAAACCTAGGAGGCACAGGTGTCAACCTGTACACTGGAACTCTGCTTCCTTCCCTAACTATGGAAGTCAGTAAAACTAATGAACAAAAATTTGTAGCTTGAAGTAGCATCTAAGGACAAGAAACCATGAAGCTAACAGTGAAAGGTACACGTGGAAGTAGAAAATCTGGCAGTAACAATGCAGTTGTATCGCAGGACTTCTGCAACAGTCACCACAGGTCTAGCCTTTCCCACCTACTTTAATATTAGACTGTGCTTACAAGTTTCAAAACAGTTCACACCATTATAAACCACACACCCCCCTCCTGTTATCATCACTCAGAGAATCACTTGTGCCTTTACAGCTTGTGTCCCTATCCAAGGGAGAAAGAATACTGGAAATTGGTGGTAGTTTTCAAACAGAAGTGACCTATACAGTTTTCACATAGTTCCAACTCTGTGCAGTACAGAACAGAAGACTACCGTACATTTTATCATATTTTAACTATATTCCACAGCATCATTATAAAGTATTTTACACACTAACAGATGCGTCAGAAGTCTGTTCCTATTAGAATGTCTCTTTGAAGACTGACAGTTTTTCAATACTTCAAATGAAGAAGTCCAAGATGCACATTATCAAACCCCTGGGAACTGATTTACAGAACAGTCTCTTAAGTCTAATTCATTGAGGCGCTGCTAATGCTGCATTTCCATCGCCTCTCTTCCAGTCTGCGGTTAAGGGGCACAGCACAGCCAATAAACAACAGACCCTTAACGAACTGCTAAGCCCAATTCTGCCCTGAGAACTCACCTTCTCTTCCTCTCCTTTTTCATGCTAGTCCTCGAAGGAGGTCTTAGACAAAGTCAAAGCACATTACATGCTTTATTTACAACTTGTTTGTCCAACTGCATTAATAAGAGTCAATTACACCATAGGCATATTTTATCTGCATGTGTTCCAATTGAAATCAATTTATCAAGGAGGGTCCTGGATATATTTTAGCTTATCTTCAACACTATGAATAGCAGACAATGTTTAAGTATCAGAGAATCTATAGCTTTTTAAAATACAAAGATGAAAATTGAGAATTGGCAAAATAAAGCCTGTTCTTATGCATAAGAAGAGAAAATCTACAGATTTCTCCACATTAAGCATAACAGTTTGACAATTTATTTGCAGAAAATTTCATCTAAACACATAATTAACACACAATTAAACAATCTAGTGCAGAAGAGTAAAACCAGCATCACTATGTAACTGTAATGATGAAACAGCATGGCTCTCTCCAGAGCACTGGTTCTCTGGTACATTAATAAAAAAAAAAAGTTTGGAAGTTTCACTGTAGGCATAAAGGGCTTGACAGATATTTGTGTTATACAGTATTAATCATGGTAGTCAAGTTTTATGTTGATATAAAGCAGTGATAAATCAATTTCAAATTTTCAACTGCACACACCCATTTAGAGTTCTGAACTTTCCAGCATGGATTTCTTTTACTTCAGCTTAGTCTTAAGTACCATAAATGAAGATACTCTTCCCCCTTTAAATATGTCATACTACTGACTGAAGATGTCAGTTCACAACTATTACCAGGTCAATCTACTATACGTGTCTTCACCCCTTTGACTGTGTGCTCTAGAAAGGTTCCTCTAAATAAGTACTATACTTATCTGTAACTGAACCAAAGTTGATAAGCATTACATCACTCCTGACACTATGTTTTAATTACCCATCAGAACTGGGTGTGGAATTATCTGTCAGAACAGAACTCTATGAAGGCCTGCCATGATGTCACTAGATTATCTTGTTTGTTCACGAAAACTCAAAAAGACAGCTTTGAACTCAAGGGCACCTTCTGTTCTCCTATGCCCACTTTCTTCTAGTCCTTCACACCAGTCTGCTCATTCTCTTCCTTCCTTTGTAGGAGAAACAGTAAAATTCACCAAACAATTCCTTTGCCATGTAAGGACAAAATGATGACGAGTACTATAGTACATGCCAGGACCTCCTCCACTAAGCTAACAGTTACTTATATGGTGGAGGTATGGGGAATCTCTGTGCTACCCAAAGAAGTGTGCAGTACTTTAACATTTGCCATGCTTTAACATTTATTATAAATACTTTCATATTGAACCGAACAGCACATCAGCACTAAATTCAACAAAAAGCACAAACATGTTAGTGGCAAGAAGCATGCTCCAAATCACATCACGTAAGAAGTGTATTCTGACAGAAAGGAGAGATGCAATACAGATGTTTCTTCTTTTAGCTATATTATAAATGAAAATAGTCTGGAAAAGCAAGGTACTGAACAAGTCTCACTCAAAGTTAAAGAGGAAAACTGCAGTTTATGTTACAAGAACCCCATCATGCAACTGCATAGCTTACAAGTTCCATAAAGCTGTGTGAGAAATTAATCCTGGACTTCACCATGGAGCTCACTTGTGCAGACAGCCCTTTAGAAAAAGTAGAACACTTGTGACACTTTCAGTACATGTCCCCCGGTGAGACTGCATGCGCTCTGGTTGGGGGGAAGGGGAGGGGTCAGAATTCAGCCTCTTCATTTGATTTATCTGTTCTAAGTCACAGGTGAAAAACTCATCACAGAATTCCTCACCCTTACTATTCTTATGCCCACTTTCTAAGATATTAAAAAAAAGTAACACCTAATACAGTCTCTCATGAGACTTCAACTAAAAGACCACACAAATGTGAGGAAAAAAACTGTGGGTAGTATTGTTGAAAGAATCTTTGTTAAGAAAAAAATTCCTTGTTAAAAACAATGTTAGGCTGAACTTGTTGCCCCCATTTTCTCCCATTTTGCTGTTTTTTTCTCTGGTGAGAATGTGGGCATAAGTTTCAAAAAGCCGAACTCAAAATCATTTTACAGACTTCCCTTTGATGTCTAACAGACGACATATGGAGTAATTCTAATCCATGCAATCCAACATTTAACATTTGGGTTATATCAAAACCAGGAGGTAATCTGTAAAAACAGATTACTGCTGTTCTTTATGAAGCACCAGGTACCCCAACATTATACAGGTAGCAGGCAAAACTACAGGCATATTTCTTTAAAAATATTTTGTACATGTATCTAAAATCTAACGTGCTGTGACTACGACAGGTTTTTTGTTCAAAATCGAGTATTTATTGCCAGTGAACTAACAGACTGGAGTACATTTATTTCTAAAAAAAGTGAAATTTACCAGAAAATATTTACAATATCTTGAGTTTATTGAGAAAAATGTCATTCCTTCATTTCAAATAGCATGAAACGAATGAACAAGCATTGTATTATGAGAAGGGCTGTTAATGACTTCGGTCACTCTACACGTGGATGGATGCTCTGGTAACAGCTTTGGAGTAAGGAAGAGAAAAAAGCAGCTGCCCTGAAGACTTGGTAAAGAGACAAGCTCCTTAGAATGTTCAACACATCAAGTCATAAAAGATCTTACACATACAATGATATTAGATGACCACCACTTATTTCAGGCAGCCATGCTGATACACTGGCATCAAGACTAATTTGTTTAAGAAGAAGAAAACCAGTAATACTGTTCAGCTAAAGTAACAGCACATATGTGCTGTATGTGAGCTACTACAAGCTATTCAGGTGACATGAAAGTCGGTCAGCATGATCTCTGCCCATTAAAGCATGTTTACATTTTAAAATAGGAATAACTTTCAAATTAGATTGCTTCCAGAAGATTCTGCAGAGATCTGTTTAAGTACAGAGATATTTGGTGTGGTAAGCAATGAGAAAAAATACCCAAACAGGCAGGCCCCAAACCCCACCTATGCTTGAATGCAAGAAAAATGAATGAAGGACAGAGGGAAGATTATCCTGGAGAGTGATATCAGAGAACATTCAGGCACTGCTGTGCACAAACAGTTGAGGGGCAGCTTCCACGTGCCATGATAAAGAAAGCAAACTGCGTTTAGAAGGAGGAGGCAGTGAGGAGATTTTGCTATCAGTTATGGTACTAGTGAGATCAATACTAGCACGCTGTCCAAAGTTCTGGGTTCCATATTATACTCTTCAACATTCAGTAAGGACTGCAAAATCTAGTCAGGAACCAGGTGTCCTAGAGTGAGAGAATCAGACCTCACATGATTTGACTGCCAAGACAAGATGTCAGATGTATTTTTATTCCTTTTGATCAGCAGAAATTCACAAACAATTTCTCATGTTCAGATACAAACAGAAGTAATTTTAAGGAAAGTAAGGCAGCAATCAACCCTTCAGCATGGTTCATTAGTTTTTCTCTCCATTTTGTATCTTAACTTACCTCTTTTACACTGTGTGTTACTGCCCAAGTCAGGAAAACCCTTGACATCACTTGGAAAGCGGTCAGAACAACAGAAGAAGGAACAATGCCTGGAAAATATTTTGCAATTAGTAAATACTCCTGACTATTGGGGTGAGAGGTGGGAAATTAAAAACACAGCTAAACCAAAGTTCAGTTATTATTTGAGATTTTTGGAAGGAAGGCATTTCATTTTTTAAATTTGAGAATATGAAGTCTATCCTGTGGTATATTTATACAGCCTAATGTGATGCAATCCCCTGACAAGACTTAGTACATCAAAATGCAAATAAAATTGGTCTTGTTGCAGTCACAGCACATTCCTCAATACACAAAGCAGCTGAATAAAATGAGAGGACTTCAATCAAATAGCTTTTAAGATACAATCTTTCAAATAAACCCTGTATCTAAGATACTCTCCATTACTGTGATTTAGAAAGTAAAAATTATAAAGATGTTTTGAACAGTACATAGCAAAAAAAAAAAAAAAAAAAAAAAAAAGGCAAGAAGTATAGCTACAATGAAGAAATGGTGACCTAGCCCATACTCTGATAAATGAAGTTTATAATTCTCTCCTGGGGTCCCACTTTTGAAAAAAAAAAAAAAAAGAGACAAAAACCAACCCAAGGGATAGCTGATGCATTGAAAGGTAGAGAAACAATTTTAAGCTTTTTCTCAAGGAAGCAGATTTCACTGATTCTTCTAAGCAAGTTCCGAGGTGCTGATTAAACTGCCACTAAAAGGATTCTACACACCTGCTGTTCTGATGGAATAGTTTTAGACTGCAAGATTACATAAAATTTCTAAACTTCACAGCACAAAGTTTCATTTTCTTCAAGTAGCATGATGAAGACAAATGCAAGAGCAGTTGCAGCTCCTAAAACACAGGAAAAAATGTGCTTCTAAAACTAATGCAAATCACAGCAAGCAACCCAACAGCCTCAGAAATATATAAAGACCAAATTGGAAAGTGGAAGAGGAAGAAAGAATAAGAAAAACCAATAGCAAGTTTCATTAGAATTAATTTCAGTCACACAGTCATTATGTTAGTCTTCCTTCAGAGCAAAAGAGGGGAAAAAAAATCCTACGAACACAGTTCTCTTCAGTTTTATCACTTACTGTTCATAATATAATTTCGGTTGTAAAACCTCAGGGCAGAATTGTTGTTTGTTACTGAGACAACACAAAAATCGGTGCTATAAAACTCCACAAGGTGTGCTCATTAAATGCTCACTCTTACGATGTAATAGACCTTTTCTTTTGTGTAATTTAGATCATCCTTTCCTAAACAAGATAGCCTAATATTCTCACAAAGGAATCTATAAATAAGCCAAAAAAACCTGTAGGAACTGTCCAAGATTATCTCAAGTTAAACAAGGTTTTTCATTATAGCCAAGACTATGTCAATCTATGCCAAAAAAAGATCAAAAAAAGTGACTCACCAGATACTATTTATGTGAAATTTACTTGGTATTTTTAAAAACATCTGTCACCTCTTATACTACGCTGCATGTGCTAGACAGAGGGCTCAGACTCAGAACCAAGCAGCAAGTAAGCCATGCCCAGACCTCCTCCAGGTCCTGGACTAAACCTCCCACCTCCAGCAGGAAATCCTCCAACTCCCAACAAGTATCTGCTCTCTCCCAGGGAGTTCCCAACTGAGAACAGCAAGCTAGGCTGTATGCAAAGCTTACAGGTGGAGACCTTGGATCCCTCCTCCTATCCCTACTGTACTGGACAGGCTATAGCAAAGTCAGTCAGTGCTGGCTTTGGCTTACCAGAGGGTTACAGGTCACGGCACTAGGGCAGGGAGGCTGGTACTGTAATGATTCTGTAGCCTGGGGCTGTACTCACAAAAGCCTTCTTGCTTTTCTCCATTCCCTTCACAAACTCCCTGTACCACTATCGCTTCTACATTTTGGTGGCTCCTATTGCCTCTTTTTCATACCAAGTTCCTCCAGGCAGAAGCTCCTCCATGGTATCAATGCCATTCATACACTTGGGTTCTGTCTGCTATACAAGTCAAGGAACTGCAAGTTCCCTTTCCATCTGCCTGTTCTTCAGTCTCTCCTCTTGGTCTCTGGGCTACATGCTACCTGCTCTCTCCATGTAGAGCTCTCCATTTTTTACAACTTTGCACATGCTGAAGTTCTCAGCCATGCTTGAGAGACATTCCCCTATCAGTCTGCAGATTTTGAAGCGCTTGCCTCACAGATGCTAACATTTCAGATTCTACTGAAAAGATGTGGAGAGAAAAATGATGTGTGCTGAAACACACAGCCATCTGTCACAAAAAAAAAGCCATGACAGAATTACAGCTCTAGCTATAGCAATTAGTTTAGCAAGGACAAAGGAATCAGCAAATTTCCTGTTTCTCCTTGCATAGGAACTTTTTACCAGTCAGTAGGACTACAGCAGCAGTACATCCAGCTGTGCAAAAAATCCTCACTGCATTTAGTTGACAAATGCTTCCATTAACAGGAGAAAAAAAAAAAAAAAACCAAAACCCACTAACAGCTATAATACAGTAAGTTGGGTTTTTGTAAAAAAACTGTTAGGGAAAGCCAAAAGATTGAATTATAATGGTTTAAAACATTGCAACATTCCACTAATGGCTCTTTTGCCTAGTATTCAATTGTGTGACTGAGGCTGACACGGGCTAAATGGATCCACACCTCAAATTAACCGAGCCAGGGTTATTAGCACTGCACCCAGACAGGCTGATACACTCATCCTGCTTGCTGCTCTGCACCAGCCCGGAAGGTGAAGCACAGGGCTGCCTCCTGCTATAGTCACTGATTTCTGTGATGACATACTCTAAAGTATAAGGAAAAGAATCCAATTGATTTTTTTTTTTTTTTAACACACTTTCTTAGACTTAGTACTCTTAAACATTGGCATTTGCACACAATTTAAGCTTAAGAAAACAGTAAAGCATTATAGATTTAGGATGGTAAAATAGTATCTTATGGGCAAGGTTTTTTTGCCCAGTGTTCTGAGATTTAACTTGGCCTTTTTGCTACCTATTAAATAAGACTTCAAAAATTACACAGTTTATTATTAAATTTTGCTAAATTTTTAAAAGGTATGATTTAATCTGGTAAAAAAAAAAAAAGTGAAATTTAGTAAAATAAAACAGTATTGGAGGGATTGCCTTGGCAGCACAGGCAACTATGATACACATAGCTTAGTCTGAGAAGCCTTTCCATTAATTTGAAGAGTACGTGATCATTCATTTCTTGGGATGATCTGTGCACAGTCTACAAATTGCCCTTTACAAGACAACATTTTCAGAGTAACCAAATTATTCAGGAAGGTTTTTCAGATGTAGAATTAGACTGCCCTCTACTGACAAATGTATGTATATGATTTTAAGTTTTCCAACTACTAGGTTTAGTTCTTAAAAAAAGTTTTACACAGGAATTCAATATGAACCTACAATCTAATACACCCTCCAGTATTAGATCATGTAGTCCAGTCCTCCAGGGAGGTTGGATTAGATGACCTTTAGCCAATCCAAAGCATTCTATGATTCTGTGTAGATTGTAGGATGGGAAAAACAGCACGTTTGTAGCTGCAGCTTTAGGGACCTTAATGCCATCTTACTTTTCAAATAGTGGCTAGCAAACATTCAGATAGCAGCTCAAACAGTTACATTTAAAATCATAAGACCAACTACCTGAACATAAGACTGTCTTAGTGAAGACTGGATTGTTTAGAACAGAGTTCAGCAAAGGTATGCAGGCAGGCACTGCTCCCACTTACAGTACACTGATCTGGTGAGGCTGAAAACATCCCAGCGCTGAGGCCAAACTGCTCACTGCTCGTGACAGCCAGCAAACCAGAGAAAGTGCAATCCAGCCACTCAGAGATGAGGCTCTTCAGGTTGACTGAATCAAGCAGCTGCGACTGACCTCAGGCCCTGCACACACATGCTACCAACCTAGCAAGCAAGCCTCACTTCCTCAATGCAGGCTGACAAGAATTGTCAAGTCTTAAGTAATTCTTACTCTCCCAAACAGTGTTGTTAAAGCACAGCTGAGTTTCAGATAGAGTGATTACCCCTTCCCAATTTTACAGTGTGTATCTGTGCTCTATGGATGTAGGCAAAGTTCTAGTGCTTGAAATGTTTGTTGTTGGATTTTAAATTCCTTCCAGCTAGAAATATTTTTTTGAAGAAAAGATATCTCAGTACAGAAGATTATAGGATGTAGAGATGGAGAGTAATGATCCACTATAAAACATTTATAAACTGCTCTAAGATTTGGAGCATTTGAAGGATATAGATAAAAATAGCATGTCAAGTAATTGAAAACCTATTATACTATTTTCCTTTTTGTGATTTAACTTGTCAAATTATTTAGTAAAAAAAATTGAATGTACTTCAAGCAAAAATAAGTTAAGCAAGAATTTTATCTGGCAATTCACAGACCATAACATTTTTTATGCTAATACATTGCTAAAACTGCAAAATAATAAAACTGAAAATTTGCAAGCTTACCAAATGCACAGTGCAGTATCTAGAACAGAAAGAAAAATTCAAATCACTAACATTTCAAATGAAGCAATTCAGAAACACATTTAGTTCCATCATAAGAACTTTAGACTCAATCTTTGTCTTTCAAAAACTAAGCTTAATAGTTAGCTCAGCTGCCCAAGCTAAATAGCAGACAGTAAGCTTGCTAGAAGGCAAACATTGCTTGCTAGAAGGAAAAATTTGGCATTTCTGTGAGGCATATTTCTTACATTTACCTTCAAATCACTCTATAAACAGGAATGAAAAAACAGGATCTAGAAAGCACTGTTCAACAAAAGCTGCCTTATTTCTCCTAAACAAAACACTCAGGCAAATATTAGTAATGCCAGTGAAGACTACACCTACCTCAAGCAAAGCTCCAGTTTGGAAGAATTTCAGGGGCTTTTCTATTGAATAGTAAAGGCTATGGTAGCTACCTTTAGCCAGGTATGCTCGAACCAGACCAACTGCAATAACAAGCCATCTGAAAGAGAGAAAAAAAGTCTAAGATAACGAGACTTTAATCAGGGCACAAAGAAAAACTTAATCCCTCTTTTCGTCTATAAGGAAGCAACAGGCATATAACTGTTCTGGAAAATACTAACTTTCCGTCTACCCTCTGCAACACTGAAAACATTAAATAACTGGATTCTCTGCAAATTTATCAAAGTTGAAGATTATGGTTTTTTTAAACATCTATCAGCACCTACATGACACTAGTATCTGTAATGTCTAAGTGGACTTTTTGGTGAGCTGTACTTAGTTTAGTTACCAAAGGTATTTATAACATTTTATAAAAGACTGGCACCACTTTTTTTTTTCTTTCAGTTTAAGCAGAAAACATTTACTGCTAGTCAAAGATCCTTTACCATACCATAACTTACAGATGTAAGGCATAAAACAATTACGATTCAGAAGGCACACATTTTAATGTTTCAGTTCAAAGTAAATCCCTAGACTTTATATTGGATCACCCAGCTTAATTGCTAACATGTATTTATGAGAAAGTTACAGATAAGTAACTGCAAGAAAACTAAGCCTGCTAAAGCCTTGCAGGCAGCAATGGCCATTCCCACTCCCAGCTTTCCTTCTTAAGCAACAAATACATCTAGGCCTATACAAGCACCTGTAGAAATGTAACTGTACTATAAACAATGTGACTCATTAAAACTTGCTGATTTTCCCCTCAGGTATTTCAAGAAGCAGCCCTAAAAATTTCTCCTCCAGTCCTGGCCGATGCAGTACTACTACCACAGGTGTCCAGAGTCAGTGTTTGCCCACAGCCTCAGAAATTCTTCACTGAAGTCTAAAGCGAGCCACAAAACTAGGGTGGGTACACCCTGGTCACACTTATTCATTTGAAATTAGCATCTATACTTTAGTTTCCAGTTGTTTGTGGCAAATATTGGGAAAAAGGGTCAATCAACAGGAAGTGGAAATTCTCAACCAGTGGCTCCCAAACTTTTCAATGACAGGTTATCCAGGCTGCCTTGCACTCAGCTCCTCTTCATGCCACCCTAATTTACTTCCACCTCCATCCAAACCCACAAGTGCTGTGCTAACAGCCACCCAGCATCTCTTCTAACAATGGTGTACCTCAGTGCAAGTGTGCAGACATGCAGAAAGCCCCCTAACTACTCAACAGCTTTTTACCCTCCAGAAAAAGATCTGCAGCTGTGGTTTTGCAACAGGGAAGATGAAGAACCTCCCTTAATTTACAGCATATTAGATGCTTACAAGTACCACATTAGCTTAGGTATTATGAAGTATATACAAATATTGTCCCACATGTAGTAATTGTTCGAAATCATTGAAAAATCTGCCCTTCACAGTGTAAGTAACTCTGGCATCCAAGTTTGCATTTGTAAACAACACTCATTAGTACACCTGAAAAAAAGCTAATTCATTTCTGCCTGGGCTTCTCAGAAGACAAGCACCATAGAAAAGCAGTAGGAGTGGGGAAGAGAAGTGGGGAATGAGAAACAAGGCTTCTTTTCAGCAGTGACAAGTTATTTCAGTTAAAGCTGTCTTGTGAAATCAAAAGACAAACACTTCCCAAGTAATTGCTATTTACAAAGAAAGAATCAGATTGGTTTCATATTTGGACTTCAGTGTGGAATAAACCAGTAAGTACTACAGTATTAATGGCTCTCCCTTGCAACACTGACAGCTTCTTTTTTAGAATAGTAGCTCAGAGCAGATTGACACTGTTCAGTCTGTATCTGTCAAGTTTCTCTACTTTTCCTCATCTTCCGTGTTTGTTGAGAAACTCTGCTGAATTAAGCAGTTTCTAAGCTTGCACAAGGTACTAGTTACTGGTTGTGCCTGCAAGCTGTTCTCACCTAAACCGAGTGATTGGTGAAGTAAATGGCTCCCAGAGGAGTTCCAGCCCCTTGCTCATCTCCACCCACCTGCCAAATCACTGACTCCAGAAGGACCATACCTTCCATTCCACTGACTGTCCTTCAGAGAGGAGCTAATACAGATCCAGGTATTAATCTGTACAAAATTAAAAGCTGCACCTGGTTTGTGTTGAAGCTTTTCGTTCCTCTGTCCTGCATCTGTGATTCTTAAATAGTTCTTCACCCTCTGTGACTAGAAAAATGGGAGTAGGTAAAAGCAAGGAAGATAAACTGGAAAAGGAACTTGGTTAGAAGTTTAAAAGAACAGCAGAAGGCACTGCTGCCACATGGAAGCAAAGCTCTAAGTTAGTTTTCCCAGCTTTCTCTGACCTAGACACTAAAAAGTCTACCCAATATATGAGCTGGAGGTACAGGTCCTTAAATTAGCACTGCCATGCATGTAAACTTTGAGCTAGACTGTTGTACCCTTTGATTTATCCAAACTAAGGAAAATGAATACTGTGTACACACAATTTTTTCACTTTCAGATATTTAGATTTGATAAGCAAGGTTCATGCTCAGGTTCTTAGTTTAATCCCCTTTTTTCCTCTCTTACAAGTTATGAAGAGATGTTTTCCTATGCAGACTTTACTGAGGTTCAGCATAATTACATGCAAGAGATTACAGCAAAGCTCTGCAGTGAAGCACCTGCAAATGGGCAAGTGTACTTTGACTCTCAACCACCAGTCAATGAAACTCATAACCCAGAACACTTTTTGCTCCACACTGGTAACACAAACCCTTGAGAATTCAAAAGCTTTTACATGAAGATCAATCTTGTTGAGTGAAAGCCTTTTGAAATTCACTCTTCATAACACCATCAGCCACTTCTACACAGAAGTACTGGTCAGTTACAGCACTTGACTAAAAATAACAAACATAATCGCATTTTAAAGCAGCTTATCAAACATTTACACTCAACTCCAACAACATGCCCTGCTCCTCCCCCCATTATTCAGTGATTTCTGTCAACCATGCTTGGTTTTTAGGAAGTAATTTCTATGCTGCATCTACACCTCCAGAATGAGCTCCCTATGCCAGGCCAGGCATGACTGGATGACTTCACACTGGGACAGTAAAGTAACAGTTTGACTCAATGCAGGAGAGGGAAGATGAAATCCTTTCTACAGCTTAATGCTCTGAACCACGGTCAAAAACACCCGAGTCAGTACAGCTGAGAACCAGCTGCAGGACTGGTTATTCCCTGTTGCCTCACACTGGTCCCTTTTCTGAAAGAAAACACCCAAAATGTGTGAACCAACTGGTAAGTGTATGGAGCTTCATTTAGGGATCTACAGGTATAGGTTCTTTTTCTAATGTTTTGCTCATGCAAAAGCCATTTTGCTACTAGGAATCCATATCCATGCACTACAGAATAAAATTAGAAATAAGTTCTATTATTTTTAGAATCAGGATGTTTTCTTTAGCTAAGTCAAGATAAATGCAAAGTAAATGCAATAATTATGCCAAGACTTTTCAATTGATACTGATCCATTTTAAATAAAGCTAACCACTAAGGCAACTACGATATGAAAACATTTACTCTGCTATCTGTTTATCACACAACAAAGCTGCTGTGTGCTTCACTTTAAAAGCCACCTTTTTTTCCTAAAGCAAAAAAAAAAAATTTAAAAAGGTTTTGTTTGTTTGTTTTTTAAAATCCCATGTGCTTTTTACAGCATCACTTAATCATCTGGGTACCTTCAAATTTTGGGGGTTTTCTTTACACAGTTCCTCTTCCAAGGCAGTGCTGTCCAAGAAGCTAAGTCTGAGCACTGGATGGACAGGGGGACAGTACCTCACTGCTACCACCAGCAGAATATCAGTCTTCTCACATGAACCCCTGAGCTTCTGACAACCAGCTCCTGAAAAACTACCTTATTATGAAGTCTTTCAAAAAGAAGAAAATAGCTAACTGTGGCTTTTTCCCCCTCCAAGTTCAACATTATATATTGTGGAATATCAGCAGTGTGCTCATTCACTTGAGGACAAATTATCAGTCAGACCCCCCAGTAACCTACCCCAAAAAATGTCAATGACAGTGCACTGATATGAACCCTGACCACACGACTCCTATGGTAGCTCTCCAAATTGCAGAAATCATCTAATCACAAACGTGCTCAGAAACAAGCAGCCCATGTTAAAGCACTGTAAGCCACATCCCACCAAAGACTAGAATTTTCTAGGAAGTTTGGTATAAATCAGGAAAACAGGTAACATCACACTCAAGATTTACATGACAATGGGAAGATAAATATAGACTTATGCCATTTATTTCTGAGTTTCCAAGGCTTGGATTTGTTTTAATTTTTTTCTTCAGAGGATACAGAAATTTCATATGCTCAGGAACTTGCCTTCCATGATAAAAAGTACAGGATCTTTAAAGAAGCTATCCATCTCTACCGAAATTTCTCTCTCAGGTTTTTGAGATCTTTTGTAAATGCAAGTGAATTAAATATGAGCAGCTCAATCAGCAGGCAAATGTTTTCACTTCTAGCAGAGCTCAGAGAAGTTAACATTGTGCAGGGACATCACAACAAAACTGAAGAGATCTCCTGACTGCCTGTACTGTCTTGTATTGCTCATGTAATTAAGAGATCCAGTTTTATCAAAATGGTGGGTAGTTATTATTCCCCTCTGAATAAAATACCCGACAAAGATCAGATGGAGCCATAAATCTGCTCAGCAGTTCCATTTCACAGGAACATGATTTTTGGGCAAATGGGTATAACCAGCACCTTACAAGAACTGAGCTCTCTCCTCCCAGCTACCTTTGTTCCACGTGTTACTATAAGCTCTCACCAGCAAAGAAAAAAAAAATCACATTCAATTGCCTTATCAGAATAAATCATGTATATATATAAATTCTGCACTAATCTTCCCCCAAAATAGTGAGACTAATCTGATTGCCTGTCTCCTTAACTGCCAGGATTTATGTAGCAGACAACAGGCTCATTCAGAATCCTTTTCAAACGCTCTTTCCTCCTTCCACCACCCAAATATCCTCAATCTTTCAAAAAATAGTTTTCTTTTTACCTGGATTCCAGTAAGACTCCACAGACTCTTAAAGTTTTAAAAAAAAAAAAGTCTATCTTGAGCGTCCCCAGTTGTCATCATGTTTATTTTTGTGCCTAAGAACACATCCTAACACCTACCAACAGGCCCGAGTGCCCATTTCGCTACCCAGGGCAAGAGCAGAGCATTGACGGCAGGCCTAGGAGCTCACGTCAAAGGCAACAGCTTTCAACTTCAACCAAAGTATGTAGCAGCTGAAGGGTTTACGGGGAAATCTCGCAGGGCTCTAAAGGATAACAGCTTTGCTTTCTTAACTACTGCTCCACATACAATCCCTGTGTTTAGGTTCAGCTCTACTTGAAAGCGCTGGAGTCCACACTACAGATGTGATAACAGTGGTCTACACAGTCACCAGGGTGAGAAAATAGTTGCAGAGCAAATTAAAGTGCCAATTATGAAACACGGAGGTTCACAGAGAGCATGAACTTGTGCTGTTCCACTTAGTTCGTTCAGGAAGGTGCGTGTGGAAGAGGCCGTGCCTCAGAGGGGCTCGGCTGGTACCGAGCAAGCCCGTGCCCAGGAGCTGCTGCTGCCCAGCCGGG